TAGTAGGTAGTAGTAGTAGTAGTAGTAGTTTTTTTTGTCACCCACTTGGCACGTCGACGACAGCACTGCAGGGTCTTGACTACTGACGAGATGCAGGACGACAGAAGGCTTCCCAAAAGACAGCAACAACACCACAACACCAAGCTACACAAGCTTTATGTTACATTCCGGAAGCCTCACATCGCCCCATGTAAAACTTTTCTGATACTCAGTCCAGGAGAAATTTGTCTTCCCGAAGTCCGAAGTACTATCAACTCTACGCGGGAGCTGGTTTAGTTTGCGTTCCTGCCTCAACCACTAGGCCACCCACTTGCACCCAAACGGAAACAGAAAGGTGAATAAAATACCCAAAAACCAACTAAAAGAAGGTGCAGTAGGCAGATGTTCGAAGGTTCCGAATTCGTTGCTGACTCAGTACACCATTTAATTAAGTTCAAAGTGTGCAGCACTTGTTGGCGGTTTAAGCGCTCCTCTGTATGTCGTCGGGGCGCATAAACTTACTCCAGGATGCTCATCACGTGCATTTCACCGCAAAAGACAAGACCTCTACTCCATACACACCAACAGCTACCCAACCAGTCACCTTTGCACGGAGGGGCATCATAGCAGCTACTCAGTCACCGGCTCACTCAGCTTGTTCGGGTCTTTCCAACTATTGTACCACGTCCATACCGGTATGCCAGCCAGCAGCCCCGGAAAAAGTCGCAGGGAGGGGGCGTCGCGTATCTGATTGCTTTCTTCCATTCCTGTTGTATCGAGAGAGGCCTCCACGTTGCAGAGGCTTCTATTTTTCAGGCACGTCGGCTCCCTTCTATCCGCTGGTCCAGAATCGCTCACGATGTCATGCTGGGTAGCAAGGTCATCACAAGTTCTTTCCTCATCGCACAGTACATTTGTAGTCCTATCCCGGAGAGGGATATCCACTTTAGTAGTAGTAGTAGTAGTAGTAGTAGTAGCAGCAGTAGTAGTAGTAGTAGTGGTAGTGGTAGTAGTAGTAGTAGTAGTAGTAGCAGCAGCAAAAATCGAAGTCGTCGTCGTTGTCGTCGTAGTAGTGGTAGTAGTAGCAGTAGGAGGTAATAGCAGTAGCCTCAATAGTCGTCGTCGCAGTCGAATTCGCAAGGTCGTAGCGGTAGTAGTAGTGGTAGTTGCCGTGGCAGTGGCATTGGCAATGGCAGCGGTTGGTTGTAGTGAGAGCAACAAGAGCAGCAGCGGCAGCACAGCAGTCGTCATCGCTGTAGTGATGTTGGTAGTGGTAGCAGTAGCAGTGTTGTGTTCCCTCTCACTCCGCCGAGGCCGCGAGGTAACCATGGCCAGTCTTGTTTCAAAAAAGGACATCCAACCGAGCATGCACACGTCATGCACCTGATTAGTAGGTTGGCGATACAAGAAACATTCAGGAAGTAGGACCCCGCGCTATGCAGCAAGCTGTAGCAAAACCTCTCTGTTAGCCCCTGCACCAGTCCCAAACGATTATTAACCCTCATCTCTGCACAAAAACGCTCCAAAGCATACTCCAAACCTCAAGCCGCGCACACCCCACACGCAAGCATGGCCCGAAGCCATGCAGAAAACCTCAGCCCTCAACGCAGCCCCAAACCCTAATTTAACTCTCACCACAGACCCTGACACACCCTGCACTAACCCAGGCCCTACAACACGAGACCTGCACAAAACCGTGCATTCCTAGAGCCCAGACCCCAGAAAACAAAAACTGGCGCGAAAGCACAACCAGCCAAGCCAAGCCGTAGGGGATTCATCGCCGGATACAAGCACACCAGTCTTGTTGTTCCAGTCTACAACTGTGATGCTTGGCACGACGGGTTAAAAGCTTTCCAGCTACTAGACAGGACGCAACGTCAGCTGCAGGCCTTTGGAGCGAAGTAGCTGTAGCAGTTTGGACATTACCCTGTCCTTGTTCATGCCTTTCCGATACATCCGCATCTAGATCTGTGTAGGTTTGGTGTAGGTATGACTATTCATGTAATGCCACGTGCACTCACATAATTACAGAACACATTTCCACTGCACAGCTGTGGCTTATCGTTTGCATGCAGAGAAATAGAGAGTATGAGTCTGCCGACGCTTCCCACGCCTGTTGCTGGACTCATAGCCTCCGCAGAATCTAACATCATGGATGCAGTCCACACAGCGACCGGCACAGAAGTTGGAAAGCTCGGGAGCGAACCGGTGAAATCCACCAGCACCGTGGCACATCCGTTGTCGACACCATCTTCTGGTTGCTCCGACGACTTCTGCAACACTGCTAGGAGCCTTTCAAGGACGTAGATCACCTCAGCGCTGATCAACCAGGCGAGTCCCAAATCGAAAAAGGATGAGATAGTCAAGATCCAAAGTCCCTGACATAGTTCAGAGTCTCCTGGTGCTGACCACTATCCTCAGCTCAAGAGTTAGAATGGATCTGACGCTGAACATAACATGACCAGGCTGCGGAACAAACATTATCAAGGTGTCGGGGTTTCGAAACTTCACGTACACAATGGGTCGCTGCCGTCGATCGAAACCTCTCCGAGTGATCACACAGCAGGCCATACTTGCCACCAAGGAATAGCAGGAACACCGTGCCAAGTGGCCCCGGATGTAGAAGTGGCCCAGCGCACATTCCCGCACAATTGCCGCTGAACATCGCCCACTTTTCGCATCCGGCAGGTACAAGCACGAGACATTCTCCTATTGTGCGCAGAGCTCAGGCCCAATTGAGCAGGAACGTACCAGTACCAGTATCACCCTCGAAAGTTGAGACGGTGTCAGACAATTATGTCATCATGACTCGAGGCAGCTCCTGCCGCCACTGGGCCGTGGCGCAAACTGCGGCCTCCGCCTGCGCTCACGGCGACTTGGAGTGCCCAATGCACCAACCCTCTTCCGAGCGGCACAGCCTTCGACACATCCCAGCTCTTCGACCGCAAGTACCGAATCAGCACGGGAGCTTCAATGAAGAACTCCTTGTCCTCCTTGGCAGGTTACAAATCACATGCAGAAAGACCATGTCCGGCAACCGCTCGCACACGCCAAAGTGCTACCGAGACACCTGCCGAGTGAGGGAGAAGGCTAGCCGCTTAGCAAGCCCTCTTACCAGTGATCGCTCGGTGGGCGGAAGATTGAGAACTCTCCTTTGCTGTATCCGCGGACAAGGACGGCTTGGATGCCGACTTCCACAACACACTCTCACCGATGAGGGACTGCTGTTCATCCAAGCGACCAGTGTCGATATACATGCAGGAACTCCATGTAGTCAGTTGAGCCAGTTGAGTTCACTGCTTCCTCATCTGCTTCCTCGTCATTCAACAGGCCACTTAGTCGCAGCTGCTCCGCGTATTCAAGGCCTTTGTATGCAGGTGTTGCTTGACTACCACACAGTGTAAGCACCAAAGGGTGTTATTGCAAAACTCAGCTCGCTGCCAAAAACTCCCTTTCCTTGATTCACATTGAGGAATATGTGAGAGCGAAAGGGCTCATCATCTTCCCCACCGAAGGCAGGCTCTAAGCAGGCTGGGTCGAAGTGCTGGCACATGGCCTGCATCCGCTCCTGTCATCACATCACTTAGGTTCGAGTGCCTGTTGCAGCGGACCGCGGGTCCTCACCATCTTCTGAGACGAACTGAAACTTGGCGATGGTCACCTCAAGCCAGAGAACCGGACTGCATTCTCTGACCCCGCATCGACCAAGACTGGTGGGATTTCGGTTTTCCTTCCGCCCCTGGGCCAACACTGCAGGTTGCATGCGGCATCCTTTGCCGTCGAGATGCCGGGTCGAGAAAGGTACTTGCAGCCGTGAAGAAGCTATGCAGAAGGAAAGGAGCATTCACGAAGAAAGCCACCCCCAGCCGCTCTGGGTAGTGGTCCTGCAGAGCATGGAGGATTTGTCTCAGGACGGCTAAGACCAATCCTGCTCTATGAACCTCCCGAAGTGCACCCACAATGCGTGAAGGCTTAGGCTTAAGTTGCTCATGAACATCCGCCAATGCTTACTGCACAGAACCTCCAGTAAAGCTTTCGTGCAATTGAACTTTGGAAACCTTGTACTTAAGGTTCTCCAAAATCTCGACACTCTGTCCAGTGCAAACCTTCAGGAATGCAGTCGAGCCCATCCAGGTGCATTAGAGGGACGGTTAGAGACAAGACATGCCGACAGCCTGCTGCTTTACCTGCCTGCTTTCTGCAGAAGATCGCCCCGCTGAACCTAAGAGCTGGCGGCCTGCATTACACCAATGAGGTCACGGACGATGCTTCCAGTCAGAAGGCTGCCCATTCCCAGGCCATCGCAGTCGACCAGCAGGACGAACTTCCTTCCGACCGGATCCTCGCAGAAATGGACACCCGAAGGCATAGCCCTTTGAAAATTCCACTCCCACAATGCAGCCTTCAGACCAACAGATTCTGACAAGCTCAGACATGCTTGATGTCACTAGTGGTCGGGACGTTGCCAAGGGTCATCCGGAGGAAGGGCGAGCCGCCCCATCCTGGCCTGCTTTTCCACGCAAGCAATGGCCTTGGTGTGGCAACAAGGAAGCTAAAGCGATGCGTGCACTGATCGGTAAACGGAGCACCGTGGAAGAAGTGCTCTGAAACATCTCCTGTGCAGGCTAGGCACCCGCTCAACACAGTAGACCAAGTACTTAACCCCTGCGGGTTCGGCATTGAAGCCTGCCCCTCCGGGCTTAAAGTATAGTGCCGGCCGCCCTGTCTTGTCGTAGCCGCGCACATACATGTTCCCGAGCTGGCTTTCCTTGGCCAGTTCCTCCACACTGGAGCCGTCGAAAATGCTGCTGTATCCAAACTCCTGAAAGGGGAACATCATACCACTTCGCAGAGAAAGACTGGAGCGATGCCTGCCGCCACCGGGCCGTCTTTCGGATCAGTACCTCGCCCTTGTCGAGATCCCAGTTCCTGTGGTGATGATGCAGATGATTGGGCACTGAAGCCCGATCCTTACATGCTGTCTGTGCCTGGCGCGGAGATATCGGACCAGCGCCAAGGGGTCATCGTAAAGGTTCGTGCCCTCCTCGGAGGCATCCTTGCCCAAGCGACTGTCACTCAGATGCGTGCAGGCTAGCGCGCAAATGCAAGAGCACACAGGGAGACTTGGCGACTCAAGGAAACACTTCCGCGAGGTTTTGATACAAACAAGCTGTTCGTTTTCTTGAGGCCTTGCATGATCCCAGCCGTCGTGCCAGCTCGGAGACGGCGGCCTTCTGTGGTTCCTGCAGAACTGCGCTTCTTTCAACGACAAACTCCCTCCAACTACGATCCTGAAGGGCAGCTATCAGCGGGCTTGCTGCCACACCCCCATTCGGCATCCGCGCCCCCTAAACCCTGTTCTCTAAGTGGGGGGGGGGGCTGTGTTTTCGGCAGTGGGAACTGAAGCCATCTCTCGCGGCCGATCTTGTTTTTCCTGTGGCAGCAGGTGCCACTACAAGTAGCTAGTGACTGTGAGGAGCAGTCCGCGGTGGTCTGTTTGTGGAGATTTGCAGCTGACGCAGCAACTATGGCAACTAGAATTGAGCCAGGAGTGCATCCTTGAAGCATTTACAACCATCCTGCGGCTGTTCGCACACACCTTCCACAGTAGTGTAGCAAGAGTCCATACAAGCCAAGTCTGAGAGCTCAACCGCTTTCCCTCGCTCCCACCTCAAGAGCCATGGAGAGTCTCATGGAGAGCCAAGAAACGGGACAAGAGTCCGAGGCGGGTGCTGGGACAGCAAGAGGGCGATTTGCGCGTGGGCCTTCGCACGTCGCTTGGCCTGAAGAGCCAAGCTGCAAGAGCCCCCGAAAGAAGGTCCAAGGCCACTGTGAAGATCTTTGAAGCTTGAAACAGAGACTGGAAGCTTGACTCAACTGCCCCTCCGAGTCCCGACTCCTTCAGCGCGGTCTGGCGCTTCAGGTCCAGCACACTGCGCCACTCCGCAAAATACGAAGCCTTTTTGCACGGTGCAGAGGAGGAACAGCCAGGCAACCAGCTCGAATAGTGAACTAAGCTGCAAGCTACCAGCCCTTTGCGCCCACCAAGCCACTGTCGTTCCAGAACACCTCATGTGGTTCTCGACGCTATTAGCATCACTCGTGACACGCCAGCCCGCGCTTCGTGGCTGGCACTTAGGCTGTGGCCCACAGCAGCGCGAGCGCGCCGCCTTGCTCGCACGACATCGCGCCTGGTGACGTGCTGCAGGGATCGCTGCTCTGAAGCCTACGGCTTAAAGCTGGCAGGTTGCAGCAGATGCAGCATTTCAGGCACACGCCAGGCATTGAACGAGGGACCCGGACGGCCGGACATCGCCTTCCGCCTCGAGGCTGCGAGCTGTGCAGTGCTAATACCGCGCCGGGCGATGCATAGCGGCATAGCGATGCTGAGAGGAACACCCCCAGCTCATCACCGCCTACGAGCTATGCAGCGAGGCAGGCTGGCACTGGTTTCAGCGCAGAAAGCATCCCGGCCATTTCACTGACACTCATTGACGAAACGATTGATTCTCGGCTGGCTTGGTTCTGGAGATTGCAGGCAAGATGCGAGGTGCCTGACGAAAATATCTGTCGACTGCGAAATTTGCCCGCTCACTGCTGGCTTTGCAATGCTTTGCAACTGTAGCACTCAACCCGGAGCGCTTGTCAATCATCTCCGCTGCCAAATGCGCTGTAACGCGCTGCTACCCTCAGCTTCAGCAGCACATCTCGATCGATTCGTACGTGACCGATGCATGCATATTATCTTCTTATAGGGTACTACACCCACAGTTCTTCCAATGGCCTTCTGCGCGTGAACCTTCGGCTACCCAAGGCCACTCAAGTGATCTGTTTCCGGAGTCCCACTATTTGCCCTGCTTCCGGCAGAAACGAAATTCAACACCATATCTGTACAGACTCAGGCTGTGCGAAAATACGAACTGTGGTCAAGCTGGCCGGAAGGCTCCGAAGAGAATGCAGCGAAAGCGAGGCTTGAGGCTTGAGCGAAGTCCCTTGCCTTGTCGACCGCATCCACGCGCCGCCTCCTCCGAGCACCAGCCTGCACAAGAAGGATGGGAATATGGGAAACTCAAGCATGAAGGGCCGCCGCACCTTGGCGATGTCAAGCCAGGAAGAAGCGATTTGCTTCAGCTCGCCCGCTGCAGTCTTTCTCGTCTTCGAGAACTCGGAGCGTCAGAGCAAGAAACAGACTTGTTCCAGGGTCCCGTTCTGATCCTGCCCAGGCGCTAAGCTGTCGATGACCTTCTGAACGGCATTCTTCTTCTGTGTCCGTACTTCGGCCTCAGGCAGCAACAACTCTTACAGTCTTAAAGCGACACCTCCGTCCAGTCCAGTCCAGTCCAGTCCAGTCCAGTCCAGCCATGAGGTCAAGGCCAAGTAGTGGTCTAGCGCTTGCGCTTTGGCTGCTTCTGCACCTTGGAGCTTCGCAACGGGCTGCAGAGCTCGAGTCGTGAAGGCGAACGAACTTGGACTGGATCGCTATTCTTCTACGATTACCAGCGAAGCTGAGGGGGCGACGATTGCGCTTGTCGCGCTCCTCCTTCAGGCCTCGGGAAGTTTTCAAAAGAAAGGCTGCAGACGCACAGCAGGATCCGAAGGCAGCGACGCTGCTCAAAGATCTGTCGCTCCTGGTGTTTTGTCCAGATTTCCGGAGTCTCCCGGACAGAGAGCATGCCTGGCCTCTTCGAAACGTGCCTCGGCCAGCTTCTCTGCTTCGGCTGCCTCAGACAAGACCGGAGGGCGGCCAAAAGCATGGAAGCAGAAGAGCTCCGAAGGCTCGGCCCACGGCAGCCTTCTGAATTGCTGCTGCCTGGGCCACCTGCAAGCCTCGAGCAAAGGCAAGTCTCCCGGACTTCGCGTGATGGCGTGACCCCGTGGGCTACCCACTTTCACGTCGCTCGCGTTCCTCCTTGCAGCGCGTCTCCCAAAGGTGCCGCTCCTGTCACACAAGATGTCGCCCACACCGAAAACATGCAGACGCGTACCTGGAATCAAGCATCAACGAATCAAGATATCGACCATGCCTTCTTAAAGCGCTGCTCAGCCTCCTCCTCTGCCTGTCAGGAGAGAGAAGAGTGACTCCCAAGCACGGTTTCAGTATGGCTACACGTGCTCTTGAGACCGGGCGGGGTAACTATCCGAGCAAAGCTTCGGACTTCGGGAACCGACAGCAGCAGTTTTGAGGTGTAAGGTTGTTCGTGTGCAACACGAATGGCTCGTGTGAACTGCACAACTAGTTTTTGGTGGTAAGGCAAGAACACATGGCCCCTCTTTGCATCCCGATCTCTCTCCATACCAGGACCCGCAAATATCAGCAACAAGCTCAAAAAGCAAACCAACGAGTAGATTGGAACCGTCCCTGCCTGGGCTGCAGCCTCTGCATATCCGGCAGCAGAGACGAGGCTGGTCGTGGTGTCAAGGGCCCCTCAGCCACTTCTGAGCCTGGGCCTGCTGACCCGAATCCCTTAGGACCTACAGGTAGTGCTCGGATTCCACATCTGCAAACTTGGCTTGCACTTTGCACCCATCTTCCGGTATCTTCTGGCTCTTGCAGGCTCTTGCATGTCTGGGATGCCTCACACTTCAAATGCAGGAGGCAAAACAACTGAGCTCGGCGCTGCTCCGCTGCCTCCACCAAGCAAAAATGCTCTTTGAAGTTTGAAGGCTCTGCGGCTCTTAAGCACTTGGAACGGCCCAAGAAGAATGCGAGTGCATCCAGCGTAGAGTGCATTAGGCCCCAGCCTGTCGAGTTCATCTTCCAAGCGGCTCTGGAAGCTTCTCTGCTCCTTGCATGGCCGGGACACCCAACCAAGTGGCGCAGCAAGCACACAGATCTCACAGATGATGCTTTTTCCAGCTGCCCAAGCGCACATTCTGAGGTGTACACGGTCAGAGGAGCAACGGCTCAAAGATCTGAGGATGGTGGTCGCTCGTAAAGGACTGCAACCCAGCCACAATTTGGCACGAGGAAGTACTTCATTGCAGTCCGGGGCGTGTCTGAGTGCACTCCACTCCATGAACGCAGCTTCTCTTCCTGAGCCACCACTGACAGTCACCGGAGGTAGCTACGAGGTGTTGGGAAATGCTACACCAGCCAGCTTTCTGAAAAGACTCCCTGACACTCCGCTCGAAGGGCTCCATGTTCAGCAAGTTGTTGATGGAGCCATAATGCGCTACTATGGCAACATTGCTTTCGGGCCGCATGACCAGCCAGTTCCGGAAGGGCACTAGCCTGATCGAGATTCTGGATCAGACAGATGAGCTCAAAAAATAATGCTGGTCCCGAAGGCATGCCAGAGGGCCTGTCGATACTCCCGCAGTGTTGTTGCCAGCCATCTCCAGCTGCAAGGCTTTCATCCCATGCCCTCCGCCACTCGGAAGCGGCAGCGATCGACAGGGCCTCTAAGGACTCCAGGATGCACAGAGGTGCTCTACATTTCTACATGATGCATCTCAAGATTCATGGCCCCCCATCTCAAGATTCCGTAAGTAAGACTCGACCCATCTGAACAGTGGCATGACCAGGCCTTCTCCACTGCCGGCCAAGCGGGAAGAGCCAAGAGTGCTGGGCAATGCTGTAGCTCAGAGATTGGACGGCCCTGATTCTCGTTGTTGTCGGGATAGAACTCCCGTAGCTCTGGTCCTCAGAAAAAGTCGAAAGTCCGCCTGTTGCATCACCAACGCGGGCAAGTCACGCAGCAGCGCTGTAAACACCCTTTCCCGAAGCCATGCTCTTCAAAGTTCTGCACAGAAGACGCATCCGAGAATCGAAGGAACAGTTCGCAGCCCTGCATCAGCTCCTTCTCGCGACAGCTCGTAGCAAGAATATGTTGCAAGCGCCCAAACGACCAGTCTAGGATGATTCAAGGATTCGCCAAGGATCTTCAGCAAAAAGAATGGCAGCCGTCTGAATAGCACGAGTCATCGGTGAGCATATGATGAGCTGCGGCTTGGCTTTCCATTCAGCTATCTGCCAGGAGATCTGAATTGAATCTGTGTTTGAAGTCTACTATAGCAGTTTAAACTGGTTAAACCCATATCAGGTTCGGCCTGATACGTCATCATCGAAGACAGACTGTAAGCACAAGTTGCTTCCTGCTCTTTTGTCAGGATCGTGCCTGTTTCTGAGCAGCCGCGGCTTGCTGCACGCCATGCTCTGTCAACTTTGCGTCGACGTAGTCCCGGCCCGTCATGTATGCTTGGAGGTGTTCGTTGCCTCCTCATGCAAGATTGAAGGTTTCGAGATGGAGCACCGCACACCCACACCACACTTTAACAAAAATGTGTTCCAACATAAAAAGCCAAATGATTGAACCGCTGGTCCGAACGACGATAGAAAATTATGCAACCTCAGGGACGCAAGAACAGGGAGGAGACGGTGCGAACGCTGCCCGCAAACCAGGGGCGATAGGCATCGACCATCCGCAACTGGAGCAACTATGAAATGATTATCACAAAGCATGTTAGCTCGAGCCTACCATGCTTCCTCTGTGCGGAAACCGACAAAGCCGACGAGAGCAGCGAAGGGAGCGGCAGAGAAGCGAAGGGTAGTTCTGTGAGGCTGCAAGTCGGTCGGATGCGCTCGAGTGATGCGCTCCTCGAGCCGGCGGGTGCCTTCCACCTCCTTCTTACAATTGCCGTCGCCCGCACATGCCCACGGGATCGTCTCTCCGAGTAGCACTTGCTTGCGTCTTCGCTTCAGGTGTCACGTTCTTGCATGTCTCGCAAACTCACAAACATCGTTACACATCTTTTCGATCACGAACTGTTTTTCGCACCAGCCTCCAGCGGCCTTGTCTGCTTCCATCGCTGTAAGCCGAGCCTGTGGGATCAGCATGGCAAATCGCTTGGGCTGCCGCCTAAACTTCACCAGGGCTTCAGAACTCTGGGGCTAAGCGACGGCATTCCCAGTGCTTTGCCCATGTCGGACGAACCAGACCAGCTTCGAACCCTCGGGACGCTCTTCTCCCAGATCGTCGCCTCGATCATAGAAGCAGTGTCTCTAAACACTGCGCAAAGCTCCGAGTTCCCGGCCGCGGTTGCAGGTCTCCCCGGCTGCCACGTCTGGAGGCAGCCGCAGCACTGCCAAAGCACTCCTGCCAGCATCGCAGTCGCTCCAGCGGCTTAGATTGGAGGAGCACATCGGGCGAGGTTCAGGATTCCGCAGGGCGTGCAAGCGAAAAATTGCAAGCGCATAGGCATTGCCAATCGTCCTGTCACCGGGCTGCAACATTCCGCATCTGCACAGACTCGATCCATGAATCACGGCGCGAACCTTCTACTAGTACCTGCCACATCTACAGAGGTTTTTCTTGCGATCAATGAACAGACATCAAATCAATGATGCGTGTCATGCAGGCTGCGACGAGGCTAAAGTTGGTGAAAAGCTTGGACCAGAAGATGCAGCTGGCAAGAAGCAGGCATCACAAACTAACCGGCTTCTGCGCTGAAAGGCACACCCATGTTGCTCACCAGTTGCCTCTCTGCCTATCTCTGCCTCTGATTCCCCCTGAGCCTGACCATATTCCATACATTCCCAGGCTCCATGCAGTCCTCGCGCAGTTTCCTCTCTGCCTCACCGAGATGGCATCTTCTCTCAGCGCAAACCAAGGCCATCGCAACTCAGCTGACTCAGCCTGTCGGCGAAGCTGCCACAACCCGAAAAAAGGGGAAACGCATTGAAGCGAAGCGCGCGGAAATCCTGGTCACTTCCGAGCCTCTGCTAGCTTCGAACTCCACTCCTGTCGGCACGATTGCATCTGTGTCCGGCAGCTTCTTGCTAGCGTGCACCAGCTCTTGCTTCGGTGCTGCTCTTCCGTGCTGTTCTGGGCTCTTCCAACGGATTCGCTCCGCTACCCTTGACACCGACTGTGCGGTGTAAAATCTTTTCATTACCACGGGCCTCCTTCATTCTGGCCGCAAGCTCGTGCACAGCCTCATGTTACGCAAAAGCCATCGTGCGAGTCTACTAGCAGCAACTCCTGCAGAACCCTATCGCATCACATTAATTTGCAAATGTAGTGTCCCTTCGAGACGGCCGGGCCCTTGCAGCAGAATGACCCGTGTAGGACTGCTGCGAACTGTCGCCATGCTCCCAGAACGACCTGAGCTTCAATCACATCCGCTCTGCGCGTTCCTTCTCTGTTCTGCTGCATTTCTGGCGATGGCGGTGCTGCGAAAGCACAAGGACCGTGAGTCGGACGAACAAAGTCACCAGCGTGTCTCGCTCTCGAATGGCTTCATTGCGTCTCCTGGCACAAATACGGGCTGCGACATGAAAACGCGAAGAAGAAGTCACGAAGCGCATTGTCGGCCTGATCAAAAGCTCGAGCTGTTGCTCTGCGGCCGCTTCTTGCAGGGCAACTCGCCTTGCTGCTTCCTCACGGCAAGCTCAGCCCGCGCTGATGGGAGACGGCGCTGCTTCGCTTCGCGTGGAGCTTGCAGTTGTTGGGTCGGTCCGCCTGGTCACTCAGCAGCCTGCGACGCTCGATGTGGGAACCAGCAGATTGCACTGGGCTGACCTGGCATCATGGCTGCGTCTGATTCCATGACTGTTCCAGTCTCCCAATCAGGCTCGTCATGCCTCCTCGCTGAAGGAAACGCGGTTCCCCGAACGATTGGAGCGAGGCGACTGCAAGGGGAGACAGTTCGCAGTGGCAAGAATAGCAAGTAGAAGTGGAAGTCTGGCTCTCCATCAGCAGATCAAGTTATCTGCAACATGCTTGGTTTCGCAATCTTGCACAATGAAGGCGATGAAGATTGCAAAGCAATCAGGCAACCAAGTCTAGGCATCGCACAGAACGCAAAACCAAGATTCCATGTGCGCGGAGCAGTGTCTGGGCCGTCCACAGAATCGTCCAGGTACATGGCTCGGACCTCGGTTTCCAAGCTGCATTTACTGCCATCGTCACAGAAGCTTGCTTCATTTTTGTGGGGCAGAAGTCACACAACGGGAGCATCTTTATATGTCGAAGTCTGTGCTTTGCTCCCTCAAGAAGACAGCCTCTGGCGGCAGTAATGGTCTCCACCGAAAGGCATCAAACACGACCCTAGCAAGGTGGAGAGACAGACAGAGCAACAAGCACTATCTATCTACGCCGCATACACTACAAAAGATATTTTGGTGGCTTCCTCTTCCACGCGAGTCATGGAGCGCCACAGCCCGTGATCCCCATGAACAAAGTAAGCTCCCGACAACAGCATCGACCTCGCAACTAGCACGGAACAGGCTGAAGAGCCGACTGGGACTGGTTTCGCAGAGTCTCTACACGACTCGTTGTACCCACACGGGGGCTGCGAGGGGTGAGAAGCTGAGGACGCGACGAGGCACAGGCTCTCTCGGACATCCAAGCTGTAGCTTTGATCGACATCATATTTTCTGTAGATCTCGTAGAGCTCTGCCTACGGAACTTGAACTCAAGCCAGGCCAGAGCACATGAATGGCTCTTCATAAACAGCCTCCTTCGGCTCGACCAGATCATATTTCCTGAAGACCTTCGGCAAGTCACTTGCGCTTTGTGACACGTCAACGCGGCCTGCACTGCACAGCGAACCTTGCCAAAGAATTTAGGGATCTCTCGCTCATTCCAGGTCAGCTGGCCATTCCTGGTCGTCGCGCGTCAATGAGGGGGCACCAAGGCATACGTGGAAGCCTGTCCTGTCTCTGTCGCATTCCTTGAAGACTTGAAACGCCTCCTGACGAGCGACCCCTGCTGCAGAACAGCCATGAGGATCATGACCCCTACTGGATGACCTGCCTTCAGAAACTCGCCAGTTTCGATGGCATGAATCATCCTGCATCATGAATCGCTTGAACACGAGGCGACCTGTACAACTTCGGAGCTCGTAACACGCGCATTTAAAGCCCTGGCTGAATCAGATATTTGGCACACTGCGCAAGGTCTGCACAACACCAGAATCCACTATTTTGCCAGCTGCCTACTTTTCCTGGCAGACTCTTGCAATCTCAGTTTCTGAGCCCTGTCCTGGCTTTGTGTCTGGCATTGTGTGGTCCGATGGTCCGCAGGTGGACCGCGAGTTCACGGAGATCAACAGGCCTCGGCTTGAAGACTCGAGCGATGCTGAGACACAATCACATGCTCAGCTCATCGTCTGCTTGAAGAGCAGTCTCGTCCTTTTTCCTCTGCTTGGCCATTTGTTGTCGGTCAAGATAGACAGACTGGGCCTAAGCACTGCCACGTCGACGTCGCGGCCGTCGCAGCGTAAGGCGATGTGGAGTGCTATGGGAAGGTGAAGTGCATCTTTGCTTCGACTTCGAGTAGCCGACTCTCAACTTCTTGCAGAGGCCTGCTGTACAAGTCACGCTGACCTTTGTGGGCCTCGGCCCGCTCGGACGAGATCCACTTCTTGTAGCTTTCAAGGTATGCCTTCCGCCTTTCTAATTGGGCCACGCGGGCAGAGCCGCCAACTTCCGCAACGAGCGCCACCATGCCGTTGGGGCCGACCCAAACTTGCCCAAATCTGCTTTCTGCGGCCCTCTCAAGGAACTCCACAGGCTTCCAGGAGCAAATGGACGCATCCTTCCGAGTGCAGCTCAGGATGATTGCTAAATCCATGAGACACCATACGAAGTTCTTGGCTATGAGCATAAAGTTCCCGCCGAGGGTGACCACATTCACGGTGAAAGCATCAAAGTAGAGACGCCACAGCATGAAAGGAAGCTGTAGCAGAAAAAGGGACCTCATTGCATCTAGAACTCTAGCACGATGATTGACGCGCTCATACCGGCTCCCTACACGCAGCGTGCTGCAGTCCAGCCATCCTGTACACTCAGCTTTGACCCTCACATCCGCAGCCTCCTCCATCGCTTGAATATCGACCATGTAGTCGAGCAGCGGGGCCAAGCGATCTGCTGAAACCACTTCGGGCTCGACATCGGGATCCTCATATGTCACAGGGTAGCTGCCAGGAGCTTGGGCCACAGCTCTGCCTTGCGGATCCAACTGCACATCCTTGGTGGCGCAGTGGGTGAAGAACCCATGCTCTTCTTCAGACTCTTAGTCGTGCACGACCCGGACAGGAAAGCCCTGAGGTGCTTCCTTAGTGTCGGCATCTGCGTCCTCAACATTGGCAGGCTCCGTGCCAGCATTTCCGTTCTCTTCCACGGCTGGCACAAGGGCAGTGTACAAAATGCGGGAAAGAATGACTGCCAAGAAGGCGGTCATCCAGGTTATGTACAACCCCACCAGAGGCCGCAGGTCTCGCAGCTGTGGCTTGCCATCAACCGTGAAACCGTAGGCCGGATATCTGACCTCGTTCTTGTTGAGGAACTGACTGAAAATCACAGCATCAAGAACGTCGAGCCGTGACGCAGGGTCCAGCCCATCAGCAAAACCACCATCCACTTGATAACCATGAAGATCATTTCAACGTCACAGATGTGTCCAAAGAGTCTCATCTGCGGTGGTGACATCTTGATAATTTCCAAAATGCAACACTTGACACCTTGGACGAGAAGGGTGGACACACAGTCTCCGTTCTGATAAGTGTCGCTGGGCTTGTATGGTCGAGCACATGTGCCCTGCACGTCAAATTCGCAGGCTTTGTAGTTCCAGTCATTCTGCTCCAAACACTCCGTAAGATCCCCCCCGTTCACGTTCAACAGCAATGTTGGCATTTCTTCTATTCACACTACTTGCGGCATCAACCTCCACATAGTAGACCGACAAATAGAACAGCCACTGCGCCGAGCCGAAGAAGATGTACAACATGGCGACCACACGTCCGCTGCGTCTCTGTAGGACGTGGGTGTCAGACCAAACGAGGCAAAAGAGGCGGCCGAGGACTGTCACACCGAAGACTATCCACAGTGATGTCTTGAAATTTTCTCCTGAGCGAATACGACAACTTTGTCCAACGGCGATTGCGTGTATGACTTTCATCCATCCACCGCGTCATCAGGACACAGAATGCACATTCAACACACACGGCCACAATGAAGGGCGAACGGATCGCATGAACACGGTGGGAAACATCCTTAATCACCTGTTGCTCCTCTTCCTCGCCACTGGACTCAAGTGCGCTTGAGCCACCCTCGCTCGGCCTTGATGAGCGAGATATCGCTCTTGTTGACATGGATCAGGGCCAAAGTTAAGCCCTGATTTTATTCAACATGGAAAACTTGAGCATAAAGGTCACGCAGATGATTGGTACATCCACTTGGGGTGCGATTGAACACGAGCTCTTCACCCTGTGACTTCTCATGCACACACCGTTCCACAGGCACCAGCTTGCGCTCCATCCAATAGCGGACCTCAGCGAATCCAGTCAATTGTGTGACAACTTGGAATCGCACAGGACGAAAGCAGGACGATGCAGGACGCATGCCAAGAACTCTGCGGTTAGGCCCTCTTGGACGGCATTTGGTCTGAAATCTGCGAGCCACTGTTCCGCGAGACTGTACCTGCATGCACAGCCATTTCAATTCTACTCTCATCCTGCGAACGCCCAGGCTTGTTCAAGGCTCAACAAGAACTGCTCATTGGTCTGGAAACTGCTAGCGGGTGCAGGTCTCCAAGCACTCGGACACCGCCACGCTGGCGCTTGCTGGCTGGGGCACGCTGGCACAGTCGTTGCACCCGCTGCCCAAGCCTGCGAATGGCCACACTTCTGGCACGAAGCACTCCCAAAGGAAGCACAGGCCCAGTAAGCCAGGACGTGCTGAAGACCAACCCGGACATGAGGCGTGCACAGGTGTGCACAGAGATTGCACGCATGCAAGGTCCGCGAAGAAGCATCTGCTAGCACGGAGAACCAGCAGAACAAGTGGGATCCTGCGAGCCGGGAGGCTGGGCCAGGATGATTGAACCTTGCGGCTGCATTGCGGCTGTGCCCAAGCGCGCAATTTCGTGCGACAGGGGCCGCTTGACAGCAAGTTCCCGGCGGGCCAGAGCATCCACCATGCACATACACTCCCGAGGCTCCAAACCTCGAAATCTGTGTCGATCAGACTCTGCCCACTCTGCCCTTCCTCGAGGCGGCCGCGGCCGTTGCCATCAAGGTCGAAGGCTGCAAACCTCACCGGACCCCCACAGCCTTCTGTGATTGACGCCTTTCGCACACGTTCAGCTCTCACCATTCTGAAAGCATCTGAAAGCCAGGAAACAGGGCCCGGATCTGCTCCTGGTCCGCTCATGTTTCAGATCATGTCATGCCACGACTGCACGTGGCGGCGCCAACTGGTTGAGAGGTGCCTTTCTCGGCGATATCAAGCCCTGCTTCTGGAAGACCTGCTCTCAAGACTACTGCCTTTCTCATCGCTGTCACACGGGACATCATCCGAGCGTCTCACCCTAGAAATGAAGCTTTGGATCTCACCAGAGTCCCAGGACAAGTAGCCCTTCCTGTTCAAATCCAAGGGCCCGTGAGCGTCCACGCTGCGAACAAACGGCATGGAATCTCCCTTGCCGCCTGTCGTGATCGCACGCGCCGAAAATCTCCAAGGCTTCCTGAACAAAGCGAGGGTGACAGAGAGAGAGAGAGGGCGACGGAGCTCTGTGCTAGTTTTACGACATCTGCTGAAAGCGACATGGCCCGGAACGAACGTACACTTTTTCGGCACAGGATTCCCTTCGCCGCGGCACCTTGAGGAGGGTCATGTTTTCCAGAGAAGCCTTGATCCTGCGGGCAGCGCCGCGTAGAATTTGTAAGCAACTAGCGCGGTCAGGTCCTGGAGATGTTGTGCGCGTTGGCCTCTGCCGTGTCACGGAAATTGCCAGAGAAGTCGGCGATGTCTACAGGCCTCAGGCTTGGAAGCGCTTTCGCGAGGCCATCTGGTCGCAGCACCTGACCTCCTCCTGGGCGTGTAAGACATGGTCGTCTGCGTGAGCGGCTGAACCTTGTTTTCAGCATCGCCGCTTGACGTCGCGCTCCACTCGTTCAACATGCAAAGCCTAGGCAAGCACACTGTATCCTTCGATCCACTCTTGGGCCAATCGGTACCTTACAACTCCGCCAGTGGCCGACCAGGCACGTCTGCCCCAAACTTGCACAAGGGCGCACCCACGGGTTGAGGGCAGCATGGTCCCCGGCGACACCGGTGCCTGCCAGCCAGCTTTGCTTAAGGTCCAGACGTCGTATAGAGAACTCACCCTCGGCATGCTGAGGCTGGCACACCACTTGGCACAGGCAGGGTCTGCAGAAGCTTTTTCAATGGGCGTGCTGCATGCGGAAAACGCAAGTGACATCAGTTGACATGTGCAGAAATGTCTCTCTTCAACTGGCGCTTCTTCGTGTTGTGAAACCTGGTTCTGCTAATCACCGGCTTGGTGACAGAGGTGTGCTGACCACTCAGCCTCTGAAGTCTTTGCGGCGATGCTGCTCCATGCTTTGCGATGCTGGAAGCCGCTTCAGGCTCTATCAGCCACGCATCGGAATCCAATTGTACCCGCTCGGTCCAGGGAGGGTGCCATGAGAAGGTACTTTGCATGGACGGTGTTTTTGAACAGACTTCTGTAGTCCTGCACGGCCAAGCAGAACGGCAAAACAACTGCGAGCTCCTAATGCTCCTAATGCTGACCTCATTTTAATAACACCCCCCTCAGTTAAACAACTCGAGTCCGGAAACTCCATTGTCAACACCCCCCTCAATTACAAAACCGTCCCGAAAACTCAGCGGTGATCCCGTCCCCGGCTCATAGAAGAACCCTTGAAGCCCTTTTGTCAGCCTCCCAGAGTCGCATAGAGAGTCAGCGAGCGTAGTACTGGGACCTCTCCCCTCAATAGTCAACCGTCCCAGCTGGGGCTTAAAACCAACCCGAAGGGGGGGTTTGGTTGTTGGTATGAGGTTGACATCCACCGGTGTCAACCATTGTGGAATGCGACTAAGTACGATTGCCTGTTGAACTTCTGCCGGCGACAAGAGCCTGACAAATGGAAATGCCCTCGCTGCTCACCCGCACAACCTCGAACCGAATTTGCAGAGTTGCGCATCGGAAGCAAGACTCGCTTTACAACGCACGGCCCGCAAGCGGTCTGCATATTTTTAGTTACCCCTCTCTTGACCTACGATCACTTTGGGAAATTACCTTGCCATATGTGCAAGTGTTGCTCTTGCTTTATCTTTCTATGCTCGGCGTGGAGGCGCACGATTACCGGTAAAGCCGTCGAGACCGCACAGTCTTTATCCACTGTACATTTGCATATACATTGCTATCGTCTAGCAAGTTCTGAAGTCTCACACATGTACGGTTGAGCTGCACCATTGAAAAGTCGTCAAATGGTGTGCCATCATTATCTGTCTGACTGTTCGACCTCAAAGCCGGACAACTTCATCGACCCGAAATCAGGAGGTGCTTATGGGGCTACTGCGAAAAGCGTGCGCTTACAGGGCCGCGCCGGAATGGAATATCCTCTCCACGATAGTAATTGGCACAATCAGCTCGTGGCTGACTACTTCCACTACTTCCAGCAAACAACCCCTTAAAAACGGCGAGGAGACGGTGGATGACGTACTCGGCACGTCTCCTTCGGGCCGAAGTAGTGGTCACCGGTCCATTTGTCGTCCCAAGCTCCTCCGAACCAAACCCTACGAGCACCCTGCCTACCAGTAGCGGAACACAAGTGGAATCATCTCCTGCTGGAGCCCGGCCAGGAAAGTACCAGGGCTGGTAGCGCGGATGAGGGATACCCGCCGAGTCGTGCGCATTGGGCTGGAAGATGGAGCCCCCTTGGTGCAACTCTGATAAACCATATTCATACACATGCTGCCCGTCGCCGGTAGTTTGTCCAGTGCCACCATGGAGCCTCGCAGAACAGCTGCACGATTATGCTCGTCCTGATACTCATCTGTCCACTGCCAAACGAGGCCAACCAGATCCTCCACGCCATCAGGGCTGGACCCATTCGGAAACCGCCCCACTTCGCCTCAGCGCTTGCGAGGTCATGAAACAAGAATCTTCAATAATAATAATAATAATAATAGTATTATTACTATTATCATGAAACAAGAATCTTCAAGAGGCTCCCTCCCCGGCCCTCTTTGCTGCATAGGAACCCAAAGCAAACACGCTTGCGTTTGCCTGTGGGACGGGGACAGCTTCCTCCCACCACCACTTTCCCCATGGATACGTGCGCTCGGGGTCTCCTGCCTGCGCCGTCAGTCAGAGACAGATCTGGGCCACTACACAAGCATGAATAGGACGAAGCACCGAAGATCAGGCCTGTGCGACATATTGCCATTCCCATTCTCTTGGAAGCCGCTTGCCATAGAAGGTGCCTGGCACAGGACAAGTCTGAAAACTGAGTCACCCCAACGTGCCAACGCCATGGACTGTAGCAGAAGATCTGTTGAGTTAAGTCGCAGAACTCTTCCGCATCCTGACGGCTCACCTCGGAAAGAAAAGGCGCACATGTCGTGTGCGCGCGGGCGCCCCTTCTTTTGCCGCGTGGCGAAGACCACCGGCATTTTGGCCATGCCGGGAGGCACCGAGCAGTCTTTCGGGCTGGTACAACCCCAGTGGCGCAAGAAGCTGCCTGGGTCGACCTGACTTTCCGACTGAACCCCTTATGACCACAAGACTTCGGCATAATGCCGGACAGGTCTCCGGTGCATAGGAAGACTGCTTCAGGAAGGCGGCGTACATCTCGTTTGTGACTGGATACCTCGGAACAGGACAAGCAGGAGCTCCATCTCGGATTTCCGGGAGAAATCCACGCTTTCAAGTCAAGCAACTTGTCCACCCAAAGATCGTCGATGCTTAGGGTTTGCGCCTTGTGATACTTGACAGGCTCCATTTCCCAGGGATACCTCGGGAGGCAGCTGACTATCCAGCCCATGACATGCGGCAGCTTTCACATCAAAGCCGTTCGTCACGACATGTCGCGCCTGACCCCTGCACGGCAACTCCCTGTGATTCCCACATCCTTACGTTCTTGCCTGACCCCACCCCCCTCCCCCCGTCCCGGCGCCAGTTTTGGGTTTTGGAGCGAAAGTTTGAAGATGCTGCGTCACATGCTGAGCTTAGCATTCTTGATTGGCCAGTTCTCGTGGTTTAGGCGTGGTCAAGACAATCCCGACTCTGCAGGGAACAGACCACTCCAGCCAACCGTGCAGTTTGGTTCTACTTGTATCAGGTGCTGTGTTTGGGGATTCTGTTGGACCTTCAATTTGGGATAGTCTGCCTGCTTGCCAGGCCAAGGCGCACAGGTAACCCTCGCATGTTCACTGCAGTCCAAACTCTCAGTCCCGGCTGCTAGGATCTGTGCTATTTTTGCCTCCTACATGGCTGATCCAGCTTGTACCCTTTTTTACACAGGCTTGATTGGAGCTCGCCCGGCCAATGTCCCTCGTAGCACATCGCACTCGTACCCTACTTCGCGATCTGTGTTATTAGTGACATTGTGTTTGGTCAGATTGCTCTTCGAACCTGAAAAGTTCGCCAGTCGACTACCGCAGCCCTGCACCCATGCTGTCAACTGAGCAAACAGCTGCACATCCACCGCAAGCTTGACAAACTGTTTGCCGTTCTTCCACGTGTCTTCGATTTCAGCACCGGCAACCTCAGCTGGCAAAGCCGGCTGCCTTCGACTCCAGCAGCAGGTGCTTGTGCTACGAAGCTTCAGCCAAGAAACTCGGAACTCGTACACCTTTTGTCCGCTCACTGCAACCATCCCGCTGGTATTCTGAGTCGTAGCTCGGCCATGTTTCAGAGCCGCCGACAGCTGAGAAACCCTGGAAGCCTCCGGAAAAACAGCATGCAGCCCAGCACGCTCAGCCGCGTGTCAGAGCGGAAGCATCAAGGCGAAGCTCACTCAGGGCCTTGTCCTCAAAGGACCCCAAGGATTTAGCCTCAAGCGACTGGAACAGGCTAAACAAAGCTCCAGGGCCGAATGTACCAAAGCCGAGAGGCGGTCAAGGAGTCCATTCGCCGCATAATCTCCAAGTCACCGGGCGTAAGCTGGCCCTCACCTCGACATTTCAAAGAGTCCCGGGGAGACCCCCAGCGCTTTCTGTGAAACGGCAAAGCATTTCCCTGGCCCGCCCTGGCCGGTCTGAGTTTCGTCAGGGTACCGACCTGAAGAATCGCACCAAGGGCCCGCCCTTCGACGGGAACTCGCAGCTCTGCCGTCTTCCTAAGTTGGCACACACGAAGTCTCGCTTCGAATTAACTCGCGGAGTCGAGCCTGCGTGGCACAATTCAACGAACTGCTGTAGATGCAATGTTCCCCTTGTGCAGATCTGTTTGTGTGCATAGGCAAATGCCGACCACAGGCGGGCGGGTTCGGAACCCTCACATCTTCAAATGGATCAAGGTTGGCCCCGCATGTGACACACACACACACAAAAAAAAAATATACACAGACACACACACACACACATATGTATATATATATATATATATATATGTATATGTATATATACTGATATATTTGTGTGTGTACACACACAAAGATATTGCTTTTGAAGAAGCACAGCCAGGGCAACAGGCGATGTTTTTCTGCAGGGTAGCCCCTGATTCCTGTCCAAGATACCCACGATGCCTCTCGGCACAAGACTGGACGAGGCCTCAGCCATGGGTAAATGATTGTTTATGGCTTTGGCAGACTCGAACCAGGGTGTACCAGCATGAAGGACATCGTTTTGAATAGGTTCTTGTGCATCCACGATACACTGACTCTTGGTCCGGATTTGGACGTTGCCGTGGTACCTTAGCTCAACCTGGCCAACGTGCACACCGAAAAATGCATCGTGTTTTTCTGAACCTTATGCCTTATGCCTCTGAGATCCTCTGAGTGCTGAGACAAGGTACAGACTGTAGAACTCCTGATGCCCAACTATCGGGGTCGACAACACCCAGTCCTGACCAGCATGCTCACGATCTCGAGTCCAGAGGTTGGAGTGCTGCGCTGACAAACCGCCAGGAAACCGAACCACCCAGGCAATACCCTGTGGTCCTGCAGGTCACCTAGCCTAATCTTGACAAGACTAGTTGGCTTGAGTTGGTGCCGACGGTGGCTGTGACTGATGTTGATGCTGATGCTGGCATGGACGAAGAAGGTTTTTCAGGACAACGCTGACGCGGATACTGGCACTGTTGACGAAGATGAAGACCGTAGCGCAGTGAGTGTGGGGATGAACATGGTGATATCCAGCACAATGGTGATGCAGGTGGTGGCAATTTTGATGGCGATGAC